GCGTTGTCGTCCATAAAAACAAATTTATCACCGACAGCACCACGGAAAAGACGAACATGAGGAAGTAGAACTTCATCAATGTATCGTTGGCCCGTCATAGTCCCATTCGCAACCACATGTAGGCGCGTGCGGCCATTGATCATGATGCCGGCTCACACCATGATACTGCATGTCGGATATCGGTCCTTTTCCTGGATATTTTCTGGACGATAAGCAGTACCACTCTCACTCCAGATCAGTTGGCGTCTACAATCCGATGACAGACTGAACCTACTCTCATCTGAGAATAGTACGCATGCCCAGCCCTGTTCAGTCCAATTGTGATGCTCATGACACCATTGCAAAGGGGCAGTATGGTGCTGTCTGGTCAATGGGACACACACAACAGGTCTGCGTGCGTATAGTCCTCCTCCCCTCAAACGTCTGGCAACAGTTTTTCGGGAGATATGCTTTCCTGAGGCAGCAAGAAACTGATTTGCCACCTGCTGAGCTGTGGTGTGCCTGTTCCTCTTTGCTGATAGAACGATATATCTGTCTTCTGCAGGCGTCGTACTTCTAACACGACCTCCCCCGTGACGTCTACTACACATTCCAGTAGTTTTAAATGACTTCCACAGCCGTGAAACAACGCTGTGAGCGATGTCGAACTCCCTGGCAACATCTGTTATTTTTCGCCCTTCTTCGATCTTTCCAATAATTCGGTCACGCATAAAATCATCTATGTGATGTCGGGTAGACATGCCAAAAATTTTAAGTTCGTCTATTCAATCTTTCCTGTAAAACTTTGACTTAAAACAACAACTGTCCACATGCGTCAAAACCTTTAAAGCTCTTATGAACGCTATCACGTGATAAACAGACGTGGGAAAAAATTTGCATACTCATACTTCTTACTAATATCCCGCACTTATTCTAATTTTCCACATTTTGCTTCCTTTCATTTTGTGGTTGCTATGGATGATAGTGTTATCCGTCCTTAGCAATTGTCCAGCAGTGTATATATATATATATATATATATATATATATATATATATATATATATATATTTATATATATATATATATATATATATATTTATATATATATATATATATATATATATATATATATATATAGATTATATATATATATATATATATTTATATTATTATATATATATATATATTTATATATATATATATTTATATATATATTTATATATATATTTTTATATATATATTTATATATATATTTATATATATATATTATATATATATATTTATATATATATTTATATACATACATATACATATATCATAAAATCCGCATTGCTAGAAAAACAGGTAGAGGTAGAGGCATGGAATTTTATGTAAGTATGAGATAATTCTTTTCAGATAAAACATGCTTCACAGCATATAGAGAGTACTTAAAAAAAGTAAACTTTTAGGAGTTTTTGTTATAAAATTGAAAATAAAATTAAAATTCTTTAATTTCACATTTTGTTAAGTATTATACTTAATTATATGCAATAAATAATGTGTCTTTTTTTGGAAAAAGTTTGGGCAAATATATATATATATATATATATATATATATGTATGTGTGTGTGTGTGTGTGTGTTTATACAAACATTATTTGAATCATGGTATAATACTAAGTCGTACATTGCAATGGCGACAGAAACAATATCGGCTTTTTAGATTATTTTTCCATTTTCATTTCTTCTCAAGCAATAAATTGTAATTTGCCTTGCCGATCCCTGTTCCTTAACGAATATTTTCAAGTACCTAAATTAATGTCCTCAAGGAAAAATTCCCGCCTTTACCACACAGAAAATCCCAGATGAGAATTATTTCAGTACAATGGACAAACTATATCTCTTAAGAACACTGGCACTAATAATTTCACTTTAAAATTTAAAAACATGCGCAAATCAAAGTTATAAAGAAGAAAATATTAGTACATGTACGCTGTACGGTCAAGCCGGTTATGGCCATCTTTTGGTAGCCAGTACGATCGAACCAATTAAGGGGTTAGTAAAATTACACATACTGAAATCCATATATCAATAATATTAGAACTATTTTAAAACTTTTATAAAATTCAGAAATCCTTAAAATAGGGGCAAGTAAAGTTGTAAATTTAATAAGATTGATATCCTTTGTAAGGATTTCAGATATATTCCTTAATTAACTTAAGATTCTATGCAATTTCCTGAAGTAATTCATCTAGTACTTTAAAATTCCAGTTTGCCTAAATCCAATATTACATTCATTCGAAATTCGAAAAAAAAAGTTGTGAATAAATGAAATATATAGATTTTATTGAGAAAATATGCAAAATCAGAATTTAACTCTTGGTTAGCTAACAATTTACGGCGACATCTAAAATGTGTTTACAAGTCTCACTTTCTGAAAGTTTGGCAAAATTCCTTTAACTGTCACGTGTTTGAATGTTTTATCGTTCCCCTTGGGAAAACAATCTGTGCATCGTTTTGTCAACTTCGAATCCATAGTCTTCCCTACTCATTGTATACTGTCGTGTTTTTTTAAATAAATATTTATTCTTAAGTCCCCGAACTGTTTTAAATTTTCTAAAAGAACAGTAAAAAGTCCAGCATACTCGTGAAGTGAATCTTCCTTTGCTTTATTTATGCTCTATAAATGCTGAAAAGACAAGCAAATGACATGGAAACTTTATCGAGTGAACGCACAAAGAAAATTCTTTTGCAAAAAAAGAATCGATAACCAGATCAAAACTTCAAGAGATTGGTGATGTATGAATAAAAATAAAATCCAGTTTGTCGATCTTTCTTTAAGTAGGTAAATTTATTATTGAACTCGTCCCTTCACACTTGATTCCGAACGCTATGCATATTCAATACAGAAACAGTGAATATTTATGTTTCTGAGGAGATTTAAACGGGTGATACCATATAAAAAGATGGTATGTAGTAAAACACCGTTTATATATACGTTCTCCATTTTTTCCACTAAACAATATTAAAAAGCAAATTTCGTTTTTGCTAACTCTATTGGATTGGAAATTTTCTTAAAATATTAAATTCTGCTAAATAAAATTTGAATTCGAAATGAAATTACCCAGTAAAATTCATTATATTTCAGAAAAAATATCCAGCAATATTTTATGTACCAAATAAATGATAGTGAACTATTGAATTATTTAGATGTATAAAAAATATTCAGATGCGAAGATGTATATCACCAGCAAAACAGAAATTTATATGATATTTGAAGTATTAGAGAATCCCTTATTGAAATTTCACCATTTAGTATTAGCTTCTTTTAGTTTCCTTTATATCTATCTGAATGGATTCTTATGCATGCTCTTTCTTAAGTATATCTTAATCGAGACAGAAATATTAAAATATTCTAATGACCTAGTAATATAGAATACATTTTCTGATGTATAGTTCGTGTGAAACAAAAATTCTTTTCAACATTTCTAAAACACGTTTGCTGCTCTGATTTAAAGCATCTGAGTATTTAAGTCAAAATAGATAATTTCGTTCATGTTTGTAGGAATGTCTTGGCAATCATAAGTATATATATATATATATATATATATATATATATATATATATATATATATATACATCCATCATACATATATATATATATATACATCCATCATACATATATATATATATATATATATATACATACATATATATATATATATACATCCATCATACATATATATATATATATACATACATATATATATATATACATACATACATATATATATATAATTTTTAAATATTGCTCTGAATTTTAGTAACTTTTACTTATTTTTCAAGACTACATTAGACTCAAACAAAGCATTTTTTTAAAAAAAAATTTACATTACAATAGACAATTTACTTTCACTACAAAAAAATACTGTAATAATAAGCGTTACATAACTCTTAGTCCAGTTGTAGAATATTTATAGAAAATATGATTTATATTTATCAGCGAAAAAAGGTTTTACATATATCAATTGTGACGGGGCTTTACCGTGCTTTTCCTACTAATCATCTTGGGGAATCTTTGGGGCCAGCATTGAGTTATTTCATAGCCAATCTTCTCAAGAAGAAACTATGATACCCAGATTATTTAGTAGATATAAACTGGATGTTTTGTAATCGTGAGGGAGAAGGAGAAATGAAGTTGATAGCTGGACCCCTTGAGCTGATGGTTAGGATTTAAACTTAGAAGCGTAAGTATAGAACCGGCTTTAGCGAGTCAAAGAAACTAAGGAAGATTGAAATTCACAGGATAACGTTACTGAAAGTTCAGTGATTAGGATTCCTGGCGCTTATTTACATAGAATTTAGGGATACATTATATCACTCCTGATTTCCTTCCTATAGTAAGACTTGCTTTGTACATTTCAATTGATAATAATAAATTGGTTTTATTATGGCTAACTTGGGTTATCAATCATTACTTCCCACAAATCGAGGTTGCGTAGGCGAATAGTAGTATACCCACTATACTAACCCAGTATACTAACCCACTATACTAACCCAGTAGTTAGTATACCAGTAGTTAGTATACCCACCTACCCCCAGGTAGGTGGGTATCACAGAATGAAACATATAAAATGCATCTATAAACAAGAAAATATATATATATATATATATATATATATATATATATATATGTGTGTGTGTGTGTGTGTGTGTGTGTGTGTGTGTGTGTGTGTGTGTGTGTGTGTGTGTGTGTGTGTGTGTGTGTGTGTGTGTGTGTGTGTGTGTGTGTGTGTGTGTGTGTGTGTGTGTGTGTGTGTGTGTGTGTGTGTGTGTGTGTGTGTGTGTGTGTGTGTGTGTGTGTGTGTGTGTAATTAAGTCAATTCCTACTTAGGTCAACAAAGAAAATTTTTATTTTAGTTACTTTTTATTAAATAGCTAGAATTAATAAGATTATTTTTTGTTTGTTTGTTACTATTTATTCATTAATTATTCTAATAAGATAGTATAGTAAAAAAGAAATAAGATTCTCAGAAATGAGGCCATTCCAGTTGGGGTTTGAACCCTTGACCTTTAGAATAGGCGTCCAACGTGCTATCCATTGCACTACAGGAACACAATGGACGATTTTCCTTTCTTTATATGCTGCTGGACTGTTATTTTTGCTTGTTAATATTTATTCATTGTTTAATTTTTATTAAAGAATTAATATTTGAAAAAACTGTATTAACGTCATGTGTCATCCATTACAAGTTTAAAAAATGTATTTAAACTTGAATGGATGAATAGAAAGTATTTTATTAATGATTGAAAGATTTTCAAGATATATATGGATATTATATATTGAGAGAGTGAACTAATCGTAGGAATTGAAAAATGGTAAACCAAATAATAGAAACAAAATACAAAAAGCACAAAACAACATATTAAATATTTAAAAGGAAGAAAAGTTGTGCAATTAGGCAAAAATTGAAAAAAAAACAGCGAGTCAAAAAGCAGTTTTGGACTTAGGACTGAATAATTTGGGTTAAACAAGTTTCATGGTACCAATCTTTCTCATTTGTGACTTGGAAGATCGAAATATCTGTACAGAATATAGACCAAAAAGGGTTCAAATAGAAAAAAGAATACATTGAGCAAAAACTTCAAAATGAATGAATGAGAAGTTACCTAACTTAAAAATTTTGCAGTATACCTTATAATCTTAAAGAAAGAATTTTGAAAATTGTGTACAGAGAGATTTTTTCAAAGAAATGAAGAATCTTGAAATGATTGTACATCGACTGTTACCAAGGTCGACATATGAACATGTCACCTCCACAAGCTTGTAATACAAGTTGCATGCTAATGAAACTAGGTAGGCTATGAATTGGATGGTTGTCAAAATACAGAAATTTGTAAATGTATATGAATATGAGTTTATATATGAATGTGTGTACGGAAAGTGAAAACTGTGAGAAAATGCTTTTAATCCTCACAGCAAGACGGAAAGTGTAAAATTTAAATTTATTCTGAGGCTGGTACTTGATAGTATTTGCAGATATAAGCGATTATAAATGTGTGTAAATTAGGTACAGACTCAAGTTTTTCCAACAAAATATTCTGTTAATTATTGAGACAGATTTCAACTAAGGTAAAACGCCATATCTTTGTAAAAAAAGAAAGTATCTTTCAGTACCCACAGGAATGCAATAAATAAAGCATAGTGCGTCATAAAAAAAAGGATTTTATTTTTTCTTACTTTTGAAAGAGGCTAGAAGTTCGAAATTAGGTTCGTCAAGCATTCCATTGCTTCTCCAGAGCCCTGTCTGGCACCTTTTATTTTTCTTCTTCACTTTTCTCATTTTGTTCTCGAGTTGAAAGCTGTCGGGGAAAAGCGAAAAACTTCGGAACACGTGAGTTCTGATGATTTCAAGTTGCAGTTACAGTTACTCTCTTTTAAAAGATTTGATTTTTCTTCGATAGCTTTCGGGGATATGAGATGGAGGTTTAGAAAACAAATATGATAGGGTAGAAGGAATTTAATTTGACTAGTTTTCTTTCTGCTGTTACTTTGATCTATTGTTTTAGAAATTTATCTACCTGCATTTCATTTTTATGCACAATTTCATTGCTTGGTTTGTAATGTTTATTTACCAAAATGAGAAGTTATTCTCAAAAAAGAACGTACCGGATTTTTTTTTTGAAATGACATTTTTTATGTCAATAAAAAAAATCTTTTTCATTTTGGATGAAAAAGAGAATAGCATTATTGTTAGTAATTTTCTCTTACTGAAAGAACAATAAAATATCTGAATTGAAAATAAATTTAGATTAATTTCATGATTTAAAATTTAAAAAAGTTTAATTTAGCAGCTTTGCGATATTCTTAAATGCTTGTTTATTTATGTTATGGAATTCTTCGGTACCAAAAACAGATAAATTAAAAAAACCAATATTGTTCCCGTTTGGGAAATAAATTTTTCATTCCATTTTCTATGTCCCTATAAGTAAACTATTTAAATCTTTTTTTTTTCAGATTGTGTTTCTTTTAAGAAACATATTGCGAAAATTATGTTCCAGTTTTACATTGGATTGATAAACATTTACGTGTGCTTATTAGCTTCAATAAAATAATTGCTGCAAATTGAATAAAATAAAATCTTATTTACCTATCAGTTTATAAATGCTTTCCGTTCCGTAACACTCTACAAACTATCTCGTTATTCACATTTCTGTCTGTAAAACTTTTAAAGAAAGTGCTAATTTAGTAAAAATTCTTCAAAAAATAATCTTATCAAGTATATAAATAATGAAAATACGTAAATTTTTAATAAATAAAACTGGTACTTATACGTACTATCTCAGCGATAGTGGCAACATTGAATAAAGCTGCACGGATTTTAAAAATGGAATATACTGACGGAAATATGGAGCACATAATCGATATATAGTATGAGAAAAATAATAAGTAATTATAAATAAATAATAATCATTAAAAGAAAAAGAACTAATTTTTATTATTTTTTTATTTTACTATATTTTATTTTTATTATTTTTATTTTACTTTTATTTTATTATATACAGTTGTAATAATAATAATTTATATTATATTATTATTATTAATTTTAGTGTTTAAGAATTCGGTAAGTTCCAGATTTGCATTTTAATTATCGCACTTGCCGTATCAACTATGCTTAGAATGGCGGCAAGCAGAAAAAAATAAAATGTAGCGTAGGGTTGCCAATTCAGAACCTACGACACGTGGAAAATCAGGGTTGACCATTTGGGGAGTTATCTCGAAATTTGGCATGGTTGCTATAGTACATAAGTACCTTAACATTACATTTTATTTATACTAATTAGCGAGTTGTAGGATGCAAGTAGTGCGTCATACAAAGCTTAATGAAGCGCGTTTATCTCGTTAACATTATTGTAATAATATTTCGGACCTTATTCAATAGATGTTTTTGCAAAGGATACACTCTAAATCATCTGGGAAAACTCTAAATTCATAAATTTTGTTTATGATAAAGAAAAATGTACAGTACTTCACCTGATACTTAATAGTTTCAGACAACTGCTGTACGCCTCACAAAAAATGTGATGCCGATTAAATTTAATGAGTAGCAACACTATTAAATTTGATAGTTTTGTTGGAAATAAGCCTTCTCAAACTGTTTTTACCTCAATTTTCTATCTCACCTTGAATTTCCGCTAAGCGAAGTATTAGCAGATCGTGGTGCTATTTAATTATACCACCAATGAACGTGCCTTACCTAATTTACATAAAGCTTTATATAACGTTCTTTTTCTCTTTTGACATCAGATGTTGTCGTGTGTTTATTACTAGGATACATATGAAAGACGTGAGATAGATGAACAGAAACATATAACACAACCACAGAAGAATACAGATTTTATTACAAACGATGATCCCAGCATATAACAAGAAGAGGTGCGCTGCTGTTCCTTTCGAGACGGGAATCCATTTCAGGCGAAAGACCGACTTCTTTCCCGAAGAAGATAGCACCATGTCTTACTCGGGATTCGAACCCGAACCCACTCAGTTACAAACCGAGGGTCATAGGTGACTTTGACATCTGTTCTTCCCTTAATATACAAAAATATGTGTGCTGCTTATTCAAAAGATTGAGAGATTATTATTACGACTGTTTCTTAAGATGTTAGCGTGATTGAATGTTGGATTACTACATTTAGGTTTGAGAATTTAACTGTTTGTGTTAGTGTTAATAAATTTAATGTTTAATGTTTTTCATACTTTGATTTAATGGTTCTTGAGTAATGTTAATGGTTCAATGGTTCTTCGTAAATGATCACGGATTAATATCATTATAAATCGCATCAAGTTTTATAACTGCCTCATAAGGTGTTTAATTTCATAAGGGTGTTTATATCTAACTCTTATATATGTCTCATTACTATTCTAATACACATTATCCTTGTGGTCAAGGTCACGGACTCGTAGTCGGCGTGTCATGAGTTTGAGCCTAATGCCGTTGAAAACTTGTCGTGTAAAGCAGTGATCTCCAACCCCCGGTCCGTGGCTAAAATTCTACTGGTCCACACAAGAAACATTAAATTATTTCTTTTTATTTATTGTGGCATATTTTCCTTGGGTTTGGGCTACTTTTTATGAAAATCATTTTATATTCCTTATTAAATCACTCTATATCCATTTTTGGTGTAGCTATATTTTATTCAGAAGGCACGTTTAAATACAATTAAAATAAAATTATTAAAACAAAACAATATATAAAATGTAAACAATCAACATCCTCCCCCTCAGCGCGCCGAGGTAAATTTATTCTACGTTGACCGGTCCACGGCGATGAAAAGGTTGGGGAACCCTGGTGTAGAAGGTTCACTTCACGTTAAACTTGTTGAGGCTTAAACGTTCTGGTTAGAGTGGCAGTTAGGAGAGGTGGTGCCATCTCAGGTATCGTTCTCATCACTTGACCGTGGTTCAAAAATTAGGAGGTTTGTCGCCAAGAGCCCTCGTGCAGCTTTATAGTGCGACTTTAATTTAACTCCTACTCACTCGTGCAATATTTGTAATTTATGAGATTTTAAATGGACACGTATTTCTGTCACTCTGCAAGCAATTATTGAGAAAAATTGAAATATAATGTTTGATTATTAACATTATCTTTCAAAGAAACTCTAGTGTCTGACTACTGTTTGGCGGTTTTTGATTAAGGGTTGACGACGTTCCCGCATCTGCGGGGGAGGGGGTACTATTTGGGGAGTATAAATTGATTGGCCCTCGAACGAGGTGGTCAGGGCAAGAGAAAAGTCCCTTGTTTTTGGAAGCGCAAAGCACTGGATTGTTTTTGGGGTGAAGGAAATTTTGAATTCTTTCCGTGAGAAACCAACGCATAGAGCGTGGTTTGCCGTATGAAGAATAGATTTTCTTGAGAGTGTCTTAACACGACGGGCTGTGTTTTGTTTATGTGGAGTGAGAAGCGAGATAATTGTGTTTGAATTGATCGTAGTGAGAAGTAGTGGATTATAAAGAAATTTTAGAAAGTAATTGAGAAGACATCTCACAGAAATCAAGGTCAAGTGACGAGGGTGTCACTTAAACTGACATCCAAGCTAAGCCAACCTCCACTC